AATGTTGAACCCTTCTCGGCTAGTGCTGACTGGCTTGCATGTTTCAAAAGGTGATATGGTGTGAAAAATGTTAAACTTACTACAGGTGCCACAAGTTCTGCAGACCAGGAGGCTGCGGAAGAATTTTAAAAAATACTTGCTAAGCCCAGTCGGTGTGGCTCAGTTGGTTGAGCATGGTCCCATGCACCAGATCAGGGCACTTGAAGTTACCAGTTCATTCCTAGTAGGGGGCGTGCAGGAGGCAGCTGATTGGTGTTTTTCTTTTCATAGATGTTTCTCTTTCATGGATGTTTCTCTCTTTCATCAATGTATCTCTCTCTCCCTCTACCTTCCTCTCTCTGAAATCAGTAAAACATATATATATATATTTTTTTAAACTTGCTATGTGTTATACAGAAAAAGTGATGTGGGGAAGAGCAGGTTTTCAATGCTGATGAGACTGGCATATTTTACAGGGACGTTAGCAAACGAACCTATATAATGCAAATGACCTCCAAAGCCCCTGGCTTTAATAACTCTTTCCAAGACTATACAACCTTGTGCCCCAGTGCCAAGGACAACTTTAAGTGCAAAGCCGTAATGGTGTACAGAGCCCAAAATCCACAAGAACTAAAAGGGAAAAGCATGAACCATATGCCTGTTCACTGAAGATGGAACAAAACAGCATGGATGACATTCATTTGGTTCCAAAACTGCTTCATCGCAGAAATCAAATGCTATCTCCAGGGCAGAAACCTTCCTTGCCTCCAAGGTTTTATTAACTTTGGATAATGCCCCAGTCCATTGCTGTGAAAAACTCCAACATGCCCACCCCAATATAGAAGTTCTTTTCATGCCCCCAAACATCACATCTCTCATTCAACCCTTCCATCAAGGCATAGTAAAAGCTTTCAAGGTGCTCTATATTGTAATGCTTTCGAGGCTCTCAAGGCCAACAAGGAAACCACCATGATAGACTATTGGGAGTCCACTGTTATTGATTGTTGGCACAGCCTGGGACAGCATCAAGCAGGTTACTATTAATAACTTAGAAAAATGTTTGGTGGGGCTGTGTGGAAAATTTCTAATGCTTTGAAGGTGTTAATGCAAAGCACAAAGAACAGTGCCAAAAACATAATGCATATAGCACAGCAAATAGGTGGAGAAGGCTTTGATGACATGAAGGAAGAAGATGTTGAGGAAATTTTGGAGAGAAGGCAGTAGAACCCACCTATGAAGGCCTGGACAAGATAGCAAAACAAGGCGTTGGAGTCAGCAATGATGAGGATGGCGATGAAAGTTGGCCTAAGACTCCAAGAATTGTCCCTCATACAGTGGCCAAAATATTAGAATGCAATTCTGCCTTGGAAAAATTATTCAGTGGCATGGAAGAGTATGACCATTATGCTTGATCGCAACCTCAAATTTAAGCATCTAACCTCCACTGCATTTGCCCCTTATGCTGAAATGCTTCAAGAGTTGAGGCAAGAAACCAATCAGACAAGATTGGCCCAGCTTTTCAAGCCAGTTTGGGAAAGAAAATTGACAACTCTGTCAACAAGTCATGAGAGCCAAACTCCTGATGTTGAACTGCCAGATGTTGACATGCCACCCTCTTACTTTTCTGCTAAGTTCCACCAAGTTCTCCCTTGGTTTTTGTGAGGTTTAACCACACTGAGCACTGCGCCATCACACATCCAACAGTAAGATTCTAGTTAATGATTTTATAAAACTTTAAGTGCTTAGTCTTTACTTTTTAAAAACTTTATTTGCATTACTGTACAGTATACAGTATATGTTCCAAGTACTGTATATGTTTACAGTATGTAACTATTGCATAGTATGTTATACTGTGTTTACTGTATTATATGTGTACTGTATGTGTCTGTGTGGGACTGAGAAAAAGAGTTAAAGTAATATAATCTTGCCTGGCTAATGTGGCTCAGTGGTTGAGCGTCGACCCACGCACCAAGAGGTCACTGGTTTGATTACCAGTCAGGTCACATGCCCAGGTTGTGGGCCAAATCCCCTGTGTGTGTGAGAGGGGGGGGGGCATGCAGGAGGCGGCCAATCATCTCTCTCATCGATGTTTCTATCTCTCTCTCCTTTTCCCTTCCTCTCTCTAAAATCAATAAAGAAAAAGAAATTTAAAGTAGTATAATCTCTGTATTATTAGAGTGCATTACACAAAAATGCTGTTATAGAAGAAATATTGTCGCCCAGCCGGTGTAGCTCAATGGACTGAGCGTCGTCCCAGGCACTGAGAGGGTGCTGGTTCAATTCCCGGTCAGGGCACATGCCCAGGTTGTGGGTTTGATCCCCAGTATGAGGCATGCAGGAGGCAGCCAATCCATGTTTTTCTCTCATCGATATTTCTATTTCTCTCCCTTCCTCTCTATCTAAAATAATCAATAAAAATATATTTTAGCCCTGGCCAGTTTGGTTCAGCGGTTAGAGCGTCGGCCTGTGGTCCAGAGAGACCCAGGTTCAGTTCCTGCTGAGGGCACATACCGTGGTTGCAGTTTGTCCCCGCCCTGGTTGGGTCGTGCAGGAGGCAGCCACTCGATGTGTTTCTTTCACGTCTATGTTTCTCTCTCTCTCTCTCCTTCCCATTCTATCTGAACAAAAAATGGAAAAGTGTCCTCAGGTGAGGATTTAAAAAAATAAAAATAAAAATATATTTTAAAAAATAAATATTGTTTCACTGTGAAGAAATGCTGCATATAATTATTTGTAAGAAAGATATATTAAATAAGGTGTCTTTGAACAGAAACACACATAAAACAAGGTTATGTATTGATCAGTTGAAAAAACTGTGACCAAAGACTCACAGGAACCCAATTCTGTATTCCCCCAACAGTGGTTCAGTATTCACTAATTGAGTGTGTGGTGACTTTATAGACATAACTACCAAGAACAATCAGAATTGACTGTATTCTACAATTCAGACATCATCCACATGAATCCTTCCTTCAAGTTAATCCATATGGAAGGACAACCATATATAATCTTTATTTTATCAGGTTAAAATTGTTGTTTAATTACAATCCAATTATTGGAGGCAGTAATGCAAATGAGATAGAAACAACTAATATACTATTTATTTAGGTTTAGGGTGTTTTTTTTTTCCAGCTGAAAATTGCTCCTTTTTGACTAGACTGGAACTGTCACCCAGTCCTAGAGTCACCTAAATCAAGGAAGAGATGAAACACGTCTGTGATTAAAAGGACATTACAGTGGCTCTATTGCCACTTTAAAAAACAGCCTAATTGTGCCCTGGCCAGTTTGGCTCAGCAGTTAGAGCGTCAGCCCGCAGATCAATGAGTCGTGGGTTTGATTACAGCCAAGGGCATGTACCTTGGTTGCGATTTGTCCCTGGCCCTGGGTGGGGTCATGCAGGAGGCAGCCACTCGATGAGTCCCTTTCACGTCGATGTTTTTTTCTCTCTTTCTTTTTAATTTTTTTATTTTTTATCCTCACCCGAGGACATTTTTCCATTTTTTGTTCAGATAGAGTGGGAGGGAGAGAGAGAGAGTGAGAGAGACATCGATGTGAAAGGGACACATCCAGTGGCTGCCTCCTGCACGACCCAACTAGGGCCAGGAACAAACTGCAACCGAGGTACATGCCCTTAGCAGGAACCGAACCCTGCTCTCTCGGGACCACAGACTGACGCTCTAACCGCTGAGCCAAACTGGCCAGGGCTCTCTCTCTCTTTCTTTCTCTCCCTCCCACTCTATCTGAACAAAAGATGGGAAAATATCCTCAGGTGAGGATAAAAAAAAACCAAAAAACAAAAAAAACTAGCCTAATCAAAACATAATTCACACACCATAAAATGTACTCATTTAAAGTGCACAACTCGCCCTAGCCGGTTTGGCTCAGCGGTTAGAGTGTCGGCCTGCGGTCCAGAGAGACCCAGGTTCGGTTCCCACTAAGGGCATGTACTTCGGTTGCAGTTTGTCCCCAGCCCTGGTTGGGTCGTGTGGGTGGCAGCCAGTCGATGTGTCCCTTTCACGTCGATGTTTCTCTCTCTCTCTCTTCCTCTCTCTCCCTCCTGCTCTGTCTGAATAAAAAAAAAAAAAAAAAATGGAAAAAAAATAAATAAATAAAGTGCACAACTCGCCCTGGCCAGTTTGGCTCAGCGGTTAGAGCGTCGGCCTGTGGTCCGGAGAGACCCGGGTTCGGTTCCCGCTAAGGGCACGTACTTCGGTTGCAGTTTGTCCCCGGCCCTGGTTGGTCGTGCGGGTGGCAGCCACTCGATGTGTCCCTTCACATGGATGTTTCTCTCTCTCCCTCCCACTCTATCTGTACAAAAAAAAAAGGAAAAATATCCTCGGGTGAGGATAAAAAAAAAAAAGTGCACAACTCATTAGTTTTGCTATACTCACAGATTTGTGCAATGATACCACATTCAATTTTGGAACATTTGCATCACCCCAGAAAGGAACCTCTTATCCGTTAGTAGTCACTCCCCATTTCTCCTCAATCCTCAGCCTTCAACAAACCCTTCTGTCTCTATAGATTTGCCTATTCTGGACATTTCATATAAATGAAATTATACATGTGGTCTTTTATGACTATCTGCTTTCACTTAGCATATTCAAAGTTCATTTCTCTTAGGTATATACATATGGAATTGCTTGATCATATAGTAACTCTGTGCTTTACCTCCTGAGGAACTGCCGAACCGTTTCCCAAAGCAGCTGCACCATTTTATATTCTCACCAGCCGTGTATGAAGGTTCCAATTTCTCCACACCCTTGCCCACACTCTTTTTTATTATAACCATCCACAGTGAGTGTGAAGTGGTATTTTCTCTGTAGTTTTTATTTGTACTTTCCTGATGCCTAATGATGTTAAGCATCTTTTCATCTCTTATTGGCCATGCTATGTTCTTTGGAGAAGTGTCTGTTCAGATCTTTTGCCCATTTTAAAATTGGGCTATGTGTGTTTTTATTGTTGAATTGTAAGGTCCTTATATATTTTAAATACCAGACTCTTCTAAAATATGAGACTTGATACTTACCTGGCAGGGGAAATACCATGATCATGAAGGTGGTTTTCCCTGGACGAGGCTTATCCATCACACTCCGGATGTGCTGACCCCTGTGATTTCCCCAAATGTGGGAGACTTGACTGTACAATTTGTGATAGTGGGAGACTGCATTCGCACTCTCCCCTGAAAAAAAATAAAATATGAGACTTGAAAATATTTCCTATTTTGTGGAGTGTCTTTTCAATTTCTTTTCTTTCTTTTTTTTGTTAATCCTCACCTGAGGATATTTTTTTCCATTGATTTTTAGAGTGTGGAAGGGAGGGAGGGGGATGAAGAGAGAAACATTGATGTGAGAGAGACACATCCATCATTTGCTTTCTGCACATGCCCCAACTGAGCCAGGGATGGAACTTGCAATCCAGGTGTATGCCCTTGACTGGAAACCAAACCCATGGCCCTTTGGTACTCTAACCACTGAACAACACTGCCCAGGGCTCTTTGCACTTTCTTGATGGCATCCATTGAAGCGTAAAAGTTTTTAATTTTGATGAAGTACAATTTATATTTTTATCTAGTGTGCCTTGTGCTTTTGAGATAGCAGCTAAAAAGTCTAACTAAAAGACTAACCCCAAAGCACAAAACTTACTCGTGTTTTCTTCTAAGAGTTTTATAGTTTTAGTTCTTACATTTAGGTCTGTGATCCATTTCTGCAGATCTTTATCATGGGAGAATAATAGAAAAATAGCTATAAAATTAGGACCCAGTATTTGGTAGTTTACCATTCTTACCCTAAATTTCTTTGAACAGCATGAAGGGACCCTGCAGTGACAAAACTGGGATGAGGCTAGGGAAAAGGATACATTGGAGTTCTCCCTCAGGCTTCTCCAGCATCATCCCATTTGTCTCAGTCTTCTCTTTCTTTAGCACTCCATACATTTGTTCAAATTCACAACCAAAGTTTCCAGCCATATTAAGAGTAACCAGGGGAGGAACTATTTTCTCTTTTATCAGGTAGTTTAGTAGAGGTCAAAAATTGGTTAGCAGGCCAGTCCAGCTCAGAGACATGTAATGTTTGACCTGAAGATTTTACATGAATTTAAATTAAGTTGCCAGCGCTTAAAAATTGAGAGATTTCAAATAATCTAGATTTCCAACTTCCCTTGAAAAACTGGAGAATGTGTCAACACTGGGCTCATATTCCCACCAAGTAGAAATCAGCTGGAACTGAGCAATGGCTTTAGACAGGGCTCTCCAGTTCGCCACAATACAAATCCCAACTCCCTGCAAGACTCCTAGTTCATTACCATGTTATCTGGGCAATAATTTGATGATCCTCTCTGCCAAACTCTGCACCTTTAGCCTCTCATCCGCCATAGGCTCTTTGCACTATTCTATCTTGGGGTTATCACCTTTTTGAAAATTGAAATAAAAGTCTTTCCTCTGTTGGGTCCTGGATATAAACAATCTTGAGGGCTTCTGCCTGAACTCTGCATGTGTCCTTCTGGGGTGCTAGAAATATTCTGTGTCTCGATCTAAACAGTAGTCATGTATGTACGTAAATATGTAAAAATTCATCAAGCTATTCATTTGTGCACTTTACTGTATACTGTATCTCCAAAGGGGGGGGGGGGAGACAGAGAGACAGAGAGAGAGAGAATATGGATTGGTATTCTCTTGCCAGACATTGTATATCTGCCTATAATGCTTTTAACTGCAGCAGTTATCTCGTGACCACGGAAAATGCCACCTAAATAGGATAATCCTATTTGCTGTGCATGACAGAGCAGAAAAAGATTTATAATGTCACAGAAAGTACTTAACTAACCTTGGAATCTCTCTTTTTTTTTTTTTGTTTTTTTTTATCCTCACCCGAGGATATTTTTCCATTTTTTGTACAGATAGAGTGGGAGGGAGAGAGAGAGAGAAACATCGATGTGAAGGGACACATCGAGTGGCTGCCACCCACACGACCAACCAGGGCCGGGGACAAACTGCAACCGAAGTACGTGCCCTTAGCGGGAACCGAACCCGGGTCTCTCCGGACCGCAGGCCAATACTCTAACCGCTGAGCCAAACTGGCCAGGGCGGAATCTCTCTTCATGTAGACTACTATTGAGCCCTGGCCAGTTTGGCTCAGCGGTTGGAGCGTCGGCCTGTGGTCCGGAGAGACCCGGGTTCGGTTCCCGCTAAGGGTGCATACTTCGGTTGTAGTTTGTCCCCGGCCCTGGTTGGTCGTGCGGGTGGCAGCCACTCGATGTGTCCCTTCACGTCGATGTTTCTCTCTCTCTCTCCCTTCCTCTCTCTCCCTCCCACTCTATCTTTACAAAAAATGGAAAAGTATCCTCTGATGAGGATAAAAATAAAATAAAATAAAAAATAGACTACTATTGAAATAAACTTTTTCACACGATCAGCTTTCCACCATTCCAGTGTATAATCATACAAAAGCTTGTTGATGGTAATATATAGCCCACAAAGTGGAGTTAATAAGACTCGAGTTCACATGTAAGTACAGTTTAATCACATCTCTGAATGAGAATTTCAATGTAATTAATCACAAGTTGAACATAAAAGAGGTACAGTTAAATATATGTACTAAATTATTAAAATAAAACCCAAGAACTTTAGACAACTTTATTACAAAAGATTTAACTCATTGGCCATTGAAAAAGAAATAACAGTTCCAGCTCACAGAATTTAAAGTAATTCTTTATTGATAAAGATTTATAGAATTAGAAATGTCAGTAGAAAAATAAAATTTAAATAATTTTCTATCGTACAAAGATTTGATCATTTGGACTGTAGCAGTTAGTGAAATAATCTAATACAAAAAGTTAAGCTGATTCTAGTCACAACCAGCCTAACAGAGTGCACAAAAAGAAATGCAGGTACATAAAATTTTCTGCATGTGGAGAGCTAATGGCGCCAGGGCTTCACATTCCAGGAAGTGGTTTCTTAGGGAAGGTTACATGCACTGCAGTTGTAGTAATAACTTAATTCAAACCAGAGCAGTTAGAAAGGACATTGGACTAAAGAGCCAACATACAATTTAAAAACTTAAAAAACATAAGGAAGGATTTAAAGGTAATTATTTGCATGAACTTTTTCTCATTAGTTTAGACATTTCCTAAGAAGTAATGTTTTGCTGCAAAAAAAAAAAAAAGAGTTAATAGCATAGGGACATATCGCTCTTGGAATATTCATTATGCATTTAAATATGGTCTTAAGTTTTCATGAAATGCCTTTACCCCCAAACATCCATTTTTTAAAATCCAGGAATTAGCTTTTATGGTTGGGGGCTGTCTCCCTCCCCCATATATAAAAAAAAAAAAAAAGGAAAAGTGGATGCACATCTGGGGGTGGAGTGGTTGTGTATGTTTCTTAAGAAAGCCAGCTGTTGGTAAAAATTCTCAAAAAACTATGTATGATAACATAAAATGTTCGACACAAATATCAGTATTTTTTCATCTGAGCAACTACCTCCAAAATAATCGTATATTTCAGATGAGAAATTTAAAAAAAGAGGAAGACGCCCTGGCTGGTTTGGCTCAGCAGTTAGAGCGTCGGCCTGTGGTCCGGAGAGACCCGGGTTCAGTTCCCGCTAAGGGCACGAACCTCAGTTGCAGTTTGTCCCCGGCCCTGGATGGGTTGTACGGGTGGCAACCGCTTGGTGTGTCCCTTTCACATCGATGTTTCTCTCTCTCTCTCTCTCTCTCTCTCTCCCTCTCTCTCCCTCCCACTCTATCTGAACAAAAAATGAAAAAATGTTCTCGGGTGAGGATAAAAAAAAAAAAAAAAAAAAGAGGCAGAGTCTTTATCAAATAGTTTTGTCCCCAAAACATTTCAAGCTGCAAAGCTCAATTTATACAAAACATATATACATATAGTCACAGAAAATGTTCACATACTGGGATGGAAGAAACATTCAATTTGAAGATATATTTTATATATGACATGACAGTTTTGAAGAGTGGATAATCAAAATATAGCAAACACATGAGCTGGAAACAGATGACATCTTTCAAAATACATTAATTTTTGTGTCTTGGCTCTAAAAGAAAAATAACCAAACATTTAAATTATAGATCAATATGTTCAAACATTAGTTTTTAGAGGGAGGGGCTCATCAATCACTGGTCCACTTGTTAATTCTATCCAAAAGAATGTTTTAGGTGAGAATGTTAAGAGGTGTCTTTCGATAGAGATGATTAAAATAATTTTTATAATAAGGATATAACATCCCAAATTTCTTAGAATGAAGGGCTACTTTTCAAAATCACAACTCCTTCAACTGAAAAATAGTCTTTAACTAAAGACTTAAACTTTGCTCATTGAAGAGTAATCCTATTAGGACCTTTGTCATGTGCCTGCATTCCAATTCTACCTGTAATTTTCTACCTAGTCTGAGTATACGTCACTATAATTTTGGTAAGTGGTCAAATGGCCTATTAGTTAAAATAAAATGTCTAGGTAATTTTTGTGATCCCTTTGTAATTTTCCTCTTTGACCAACCCTAATACATTGGTCCTCCCAGCTATTTTTAATCAGAAACCAGAATACATATTCCACTTTCTTAAGTGGAACAGACACATTCATGCGTACATGACCTCATGGGTTGTGAGCCTTACTCTCACAATGAAAACTTTCCTTTAAAAATGTCAGACTTAATTACCAGAAGCTATTTTGAAAACAGATAACAACAACATTGATTGTATTCCATACAAAACAGTTTTAGTAGAAAGGATCAAGTTAGGTATTTAATTTTTGCAATCCTTTCTGTTTTGAAGATCACAGTTTTCAGGCCTTTTACTGAAAATGAAAGTCAGGTAGTAGAAGAAATTTTTAAATAGCTAAAATTGGGTTTTAAAAAACTCAATATATAATTCTCTTTAAGGACATAAATTCTCATAAAGGAAAATGTAAAGGACACAGTAGAAGGCATATCTAAAAATTAAACGTTAGGCACTTTTGGGAGTGACATCCAATACTGTAAAAGTGGGCTGAAGACCCACCATTAAGTAACTAAGAAGACTAAGTAGGTATTAAAACTAAGAAATCAATAATCCTAATGCTACTTTAAGCTATACTTGTACAATTTTTCAAGAGCCAGTAATAAACCAAAGTCACTAAGAAAAACTGTAACAATGTTTCAAGTAACTTTTTTATGTGCCTTAATGTCAAGAGCTATCCTAACCCATCTGGCTTAAAATTTTCAACTCGAGTTACTTAATAGGGTATGTTTCCAATGAAACCAAATAAAATTAATAGAATAAAAGTGATAGGAAAAGGTAGTACTAGAATTCTGAAAAAAAGTCTCAATTAACTAGCTTATTTTGATAAAATGCATAAAATAACAAATTCACATCTCTTAAAATATATTAAATAATCAGAGGTCAAGATAGTTATCCATGAAATGTCACATCGTTCAGTAGTTATTTCCTTTTTAAAAAACAACAGTGGAATCAAAGCTACTACTTGTGTTTTTCGTGTGTGTGTGTGTGTATATAGATAATTTTTCCCCCCGTTTTATTTCACCAAATTTGCTCACAAAACTTTAGTCAACCAAAATCTATTTGGCACTTACATGAAGATGTAGCAAAAGAAGAGTCTGCCAAATTTAAATCATGATTAGATCAAGTAAGTATTTTAGTATAGTATCCTCTGCTCAGAAACAAACCAATATTTTCTGTAGCTCTTCTGAAATATGCAATGTTGCATTTTCTCACAGAATATTGTTAAATTACAGTGCGAAGACTACAAACCCAGAAGCACCGTTGACCTGGTTTTGGGTAAAGGTGCACCTGTAAAACTGCTTAAATTAAATATAAAAACAAAACAAAATGAAACTTGATTTGTTTTGGTTGAGAACAACAGGAGTCCAAAAAGAGCTTCAATTTCTGGAGCTTCAAATTGAAGAAAAGGCTGAGATGCTGTGCTTCACATACTTCTTCATCCAAGTTGCTTCCATTTGAAGAACTAAGAAAACACTACCTTTCATATTATATTCTTTTTGAGGATTCCATAAAACTTAGGTTCAATGTCATAGCATAAGGGTGTATGCTATAGAGTAGCTAAAATCCGTAAAAAGGAGACTACCACTACACAAAACGTCTGCCCAGTGCCCAAGGTGAGGGCTTCAAATGGTATCATTTCTTTGCCTGCTGCTCGGTACACTCCAGCAATTGCTGCACCTGTTCAAAAATTCAAGAGAATTAAAAGAAAAATCAAGATTAATATAATCAGGAAACTATAGCACTTAAAATTCTACTATAAGTAAAATGTTCCAGATTTTTTACATTAAAATTTAAATATCAGAAATATAGAAATGTTTTGTTTTTCCCTATTCATTTTGCTGACTAGTCTAGGTTTTAAGTATTCCTTATATGGTTTGCAAATGACTAACATGTGCTTTTAGATGTTGAAAAGAGACTCCTTAAAACTGAGAGTCTCCTGGATATGGTGAATAAAACCATTTGGAAGTCATAAGCCAAATCACAAAGATTGCATTTTCCATATGATCTGATTATAAACTCAAAAACATCTCTTTATGCCCCATGCATTTAACAGGTACCTAATAAATTACTGGCAACAAATGGCAAAGAATCTTCTATGTGAGAATGAGCAAGAAATATTTCAGGAGAAGCCACAGGGAATCCCCATTCCACCTTCTACTATACTCAAGGTTCCCTTCAGGAAATGGATGGAGGAGGGAGAAGAGGGGTAGGAAAAGGGAGAGAGAGGAGAAAGCTAAGCCTATAAAGTTGCTACTAATTCAATGGGTGTGAGGGGGGAGAGGTTCAGAAATTCCTTTCTGTTCCCTATGTCGCTAATCATTTTTTATTATGTTATTCACTGTAACTCCCTAGAAACTGAGTAAACAAACACATTTGTATATATTCAGGTACCCATCTGAGTTGCTGCAGGAACCCAGCACTGTACCATGAAAGTCAAGATTTTATTAGTTTAAAAAGAACAGATCCAAAGTTCCCAGATGACTCCCCCAAATGCTCCAAACAAAATTCTCAGTGTGGTCATTCACTCAATTATTTTTGCACTTCTATATTTTGTAAGGTGTGATCCCTGTACATAGAATCTAGCTGGGGACACAAGACAGAAAGCACAAGCATGAAAGAGATCTTGAATGATTCAAGACATACAGTGTCTCAAGCAAATGTCTACGCAGTTTACAAATGTGATGTGAAGGCATTAACACATTTTAAGAAGAAGAGCAATATTAACTAATACCTGTGTTCATTTCTTGGAACATTTGTGACTTTGAAATGCTCACCTACAGTGGCAATGCATACATCCTGTGCTACTAATATCTGAGAGGCACATGTTTCATTGAGACTCTTTATAATTTAGCTCCAAAAAGGTGGGTTGGGTAGAAAGAAGCCAAAGCAACTTGAACTGGGCCCTAAAGTGGGATTTGGATGATGAAGAAGGGAAGAAAAGAAAAAGCTTACACAAGGAGCAGCAATATGAGAAGAGAACAGGCTCTATGCGTAAAATCTTAAAGACAGAAATAAACATGACATCTATTGCACAATTACTATGTGTTAGTATTATAGTAAATACTTTACATATACATTATTTCATTTAATCATCATACTGCATACGAGGTGGGTGGTAGTATCTCTACTTTCCTGATGAGAAATCTGAAAGAGGTTCTCAGAGCTAGTAATCCAGTAAGGAAACTTGAACCAGGGGGTCTCTGAAGATAGTGGATACAGTTAAAAATATTGGATAGCCCTGGCCAGTTTGGCTCAGCAGTTGGAGCATCAGCCTGCAGACTGTGAGTCCTGGGTTCAGTTCCTGCGAGGGGCACGTACCAAAAAATAAAAATTAAAAAAAAATATATATATATATATTGGATAAGACCCTGGCCAGTTTGGTTCAGCGGTTAGAGCATCAGCCCATGGACCAGAGAGTCCTGGGTTCGGTTCCCACTAAGAGCACGTACCTCAGTTGCTGTTTGACCCCAGCCCCAGTTGGGGTCGTGTGGCTGGCAGCCAGTCGATGTGTCTCTCTCTCACATCGATGTTTCTCTCTCTCTCTCTTCCTCCCTTTCTCCCTCCCACTATATCTGAAGATAAATGCAAAAATATCCAAAATATATATATATATATATTTATTTATGATAAGGCAAGTTATGGAAAACCCTTTATGCAGACAGGAGAAAACTGGCCTCCTTCCTGTGTTATTACAAAGGTTTCATCATTTACAGAACACAGAGAAAAGAGGTCATTTTGTCCCCCAAAAGCCACTCAGGTCAAAGAGACAAAAGGAGATTTCTGCTTGAAGTTCAAGGTTTAAATTCACAGAGAAAAAATAAAGTTACAAATTAGTAGGACTATTATGTTTCTATATATTTTTTAAAGATTTTTAAAATTAATTTTTAGAGAGAGAGAAGGGAGGGAGAGAGAGCGACACATCGATGTTAAAGTGAAAATCGACTGGCTACCTCTTGCACACCCTCTAGGGGGAATCAAGTCTGAAACCTGGGCATGTGCCCTGACCAGGAATCCAACCAGCAACCTTTCGGTCCACGGGACAATGCCCAACCAACTGAGGCACACTGGCCAGGGCTGTTTCTATTTTTTAAGACTATATTTGTAGCCCTGGCCGGTGTGGCTCAGCGGTGAGAGCATCAGCCCGTGGACCAGAGAGACCCAGGTTCGGTTCCTGCTAAGGGCACATGCCTCGGTTGCAGCTTGTTCCTGGCCCTGATTGGGGTCGTGTGGGTGGCAGGCAGTCGATCTCTCACATCGATGTTTCTCTCTCTTTCGCTCTATCTGAGGATAAATACAAAAATGTCCTCGGGTAAGGATACAAAATTTAAAAAGAATATATTTATGTTTACAGGTATACCTAAAAAGAGGTCTACAAGCATATACCAAAATGCAAACTGTGGTTATCATTTAGGGATGTGGCAATGGAGGATTTTTGCTTTCTTTCTTTCTTTTTTTTTTTTAATCCTCTCCTGAGAACATTTTTCCATTTTTTGTTCAGATAGAGTGGGAGGGCCCTGGCCGGTTTGGCTTAGCGGTTAGAGCGTCTGCCTGCGGTCCGGAGAGGCCCGGGTTCGGTTCCCGCTAAGGGCATGTACCTTGGTTGCAGTTTGTCCCCGGCCCTGGTTGGTCGTGCGGGTGGCAGCCACTCAATGTGTCCCTTTCACATCGATGTTTCCCTCTCTCTCTCTTCCTCTCTCTCCCTCCCACTCTGTCTGTACAAAAAATGGAAAAATGTCCTCGGATGAGGATTAAAAAAACAAAACAAAACAAAACAAAAACAGATAGAGTGGGAGGGAGAGAGAAGAAGAGAGAGAGAGAGAGAAACATCGATGTGAAAGGGACACATCGAGTGGCTGTCACCCTCATGACCGACCAGGGCCGGGGACAAACTGCAACCGAGGTACGTGCCCTCAGCGGGGAATCGAACCCGGGTCTCTCGGGACCGCAGGCTGACACTCTAACCGCTGAGCCAAACCGGCCAGGGCGATTTTTGCTTTCTAATACTTTTTAATTTATATAAAATATACATGTTATTTTTATTTAATTATGAGCTTTAAAAGGTTTAAACTTATTCTCCTCCCTGTGACATGAGCAAAAGCCAAGGAAAAAAATAAGCAGGTAAAAATAATTTATAATATGAATGTTACTTCAATTCTCATTCAGAAAGTCCTGAGGGAAAAAATAACCAAGTACTTTTTTTTTAATCCTCACTCAAGGATATTTTTCTATGTATTTTCAGACAGAGTAGAAGGGAGGGAGAGAAAGAGAGAAAGATCGACATGAAAGGAACACATTGACTGGTTGCCTCCTGCATGACCCCGACCAGGGCCAGGGATGAACCACATCCAAGGTAGGTGCCCCTGATGGGAATCAAACCCGAGACTCATTGGTCCGCGGGCCAACACTCTAACCGCTGAGCAAAACTGGCCAGGGAAACCAGGCACTTTTTTTTTTTTTTTATCCTTACCCGAGGATATTTTTCCTTTTTTTTTTTTTTGTTTTGTTCAGGTAGAGTGGGAGGGAGAGAGAGGAACAGAGAGAGAGAGAAACATCGACGTGAAAGGGACACATCGAGTGGCTGCCACCCGCACGATCGACCAGGGCCGGGGACAAACTGCAACTGAGGTACGTGCCCTTAGTGGGAACCGAACGCAGGTCTCTCTGGACCGCAGGCCGACGCTCTAACCACTGAGCCAAACTGGCCAGGGCCAACCAGGTACTTTTTAAGACAAGAATTCTTGTTGGAATTATTCTTCCTTAAAGTAACCACACCCAAGTAGAAGTAATTCATCAACCATCTTGCTATGCTACCAAGTCAAGTGACAGCTGATGAGAAAGAAACAGTAGCTTCCAAAAAGACAAATATCTTTCTTTTGCTAGTGACCTATGTCAGAAGATGTACCTCACAAAGCTTAACATGGCTTCCCTGATGCCAGCAAGAGAAAATCTGACAGGAAATCAAAGATGTTAGTCACATAGTGGGGGACTGAGGGTGAGGAAAAAAACAAAACATAAAAAAAGAGACCTGTGGTAAAAGACCACTCTTTTTCTTCATCCCATTCAGACATGTTTCTAAAATGGGTCCTGAAATTGACTGACAGGTCATATGAAATATTTTGACTGGTATTTTAATGTCTAACATACTTGTCAAGATTCCAGCAGTAATTGGTCCCACGATGCCCATCAACAGGATGCTTACAGACATGAACCTACCATATTTGTGATGTCTGAGGGTGAAGAGGGCCAGTAATCCAGCAGGGACATGAAAGAAAAGAGAGGACACCAGTGCCCACAGGAACACACCGTACCACATCTCTACAAGGGAAAGGAAAGAAAAGTCACAAATCACTGCCTTTCCCAGTGCAGTCATTACAAAGGGGTGGTCATTTATACCCAGTTACTTCATTTTCAAAACCATTCAGTTGCAATGTAAGTTCATCAGTCAAATATCCCAATATTGAAGGTTTTAGAGGGATCAGCAAACTACAGCTACCACCTGTTTTAGCACATAAAGTCTTACTGGAACACGGCCATGCCCATTCATTTAAGTCTTGTCTCTAGCTGTTTTCCAGCTACAAGAGCAGAGCTGAAACAGTGACATGGACCACACAGCCTGCAAAACCTAGAATATTTACTATCCGGCCCTTCAAAGAAAAAGTTGACCAATCCCTGATAAGCTACCTCTACCCTTCCAGATCTGAAAACTGCCCTAAATCATTCCCCTCCCATAAGAAGTACAAGCCTAAGTTCATTGACAGGGTACCATGCAATCAATACCTATTGATCTTTCCTGACTTTTTGATTATTCAGTCTCCTAAAATGGAAAGCTATATAATTATATTCATTCAACAATCATTTTCAAGACATTGCAGTAACTATCAAGCCACTGCCTCCTTTTAGGACATCAAAGCTCTTTAAGATACAAAATAAATACCAGGAAATATAAATGTTTGGCTTAAAGACAAATGGCAAGTGGGGGGAGGTTAGAAGAGGAGCTGGTTCCTACAGAGACCTTCCAACCATTCTCAAGATGACAGTAATTTAGGCAACATTAAAACATTTGATCACCACCTACGTATACAAACCTATGCAAGGTGACTGCCTTGGAAAATACAAAAAGGAGGACACGCCATCCTACCCTCAAGACCTTTGGTAAATGGCAGGCATAGCATTTCCCCCCAGTGAGCCTAGGCAGGGCTTTAGAATTCTCAAGATAGCTCTCTAGCTACCCAGATGGATATAGTGAAGGTGACACATTAGATAAAATCTTGTCCATCCTTGCACTAGAGGTGGGTAAGCAACAGGCAATTTTAGATATCAGTTCAGAGCTCAACTCAGGGTTTCTCAACCACAGCACCGCTGCCATTAGGCCCAGGTGACTGGTGTGGGAGCTGTCCTGTGCACTGTAGGATGCGGAGCAGCACTCCTGGCCTTGCCAGGTGCCAGGAGCACTTCTTCCCCAGTGTGACAACAAAAACATTGCCAAAGTCCCCTGGAGGCAAAACTGCCCTAATTAAAAACCATTGGCCTAGCTGAGGCAGAGGGTTTATAAGCGTAATAGCAATTACAGCTGCAAATATAGATGGGGGTCACATTATGGAGCACTTTGAAGCCTAAGGAATTCAATCAACATGAAAGCCCTGATGTGCCAATAAAGGTTTTGAGCAGTAAAGTGTAGTCAGAACTTATTTCCCAGATCCCCCTTATATTCTCAGTAGGAGTACAAACTAGAAAATCTTTCTGGAGGGTAATTTGGATATGTGCATTCAAAATGAGTCAAATGAGCGTACCCCCTGCCATAGCGATTACTTCCAGGAATACAGCGTACAGCAGCGGTTCTCAACCTGTGGATTGCGACCCCTTTGGGGGTTGACCAACCCTTTCACAGGGGTCTCCTAAGACCATCGGAAAACACATATTTCCGATGGTCTTAGGAACCGAGACACCGCTACTCTATCCGTCTCCAGGAGGGTCCACCCATATGCAGATACGCTCACATACAATATGAAAAACTGTATTAAAGGGTCGCAGCATTAGGAAGGTTGAGAACCACTGGCCTACAGGAATATACCTGTAGGCAAGGACAGGTAACAAGAGGTTCTCAGCAGCACCGTCTGTAATGGCAAAAACTAGATCCAACTGCACGTCTATCAATGTAGTATTAATTGTGCCCAGCCAGTGTGGCTCAGTGGTTGAGCATCGACCCATGCACCAAGAGGTTGCCAGTTCAATTCCCGGTCAGGGCACATGCCCAGGTTGTGGGCCAAATCCCCAGTGGGGGGCATGCAGGAGGCAGCCAACTGATGTTCTCTCTCATTGATGTTTCTATCTCTATCTCCCTCTACCTTCCTGTCTCTCTAAAAATCAATAAAAAAAATTTTTTTTAATGTAGGATTACTTATGAAACTTCACTGTAAGACTACTTGTGAAACACATTTTGATGTATCCACATAATGCAACATTATACAATCACATAAAAATATGAAATAGATCTTTATATATTAAAGGGGTAAGATGCCCAAGCCACACTGGCAAATAAAACAATGCAAGTTGCAGAATAGCATGTAGAATAAGATTCCATGTTTTGTAAAAACAAAACAAACATTTATGTGTAAGTGCTTTTCTACAACATACATAGGTGCTGTTCTAAGTGCTTTACAAATATTAACTCATGTAATACTCTAAACAACTTTTTTTTTTTTTTTTTTTGGTATGTGCCCTTAGCGGGAACCGAACCCAGGACTTTCTGGTCCGCAGGCTGACGCTCCAACCGCTGAGCCAAACCGCCAGGGTCTCTAAACAACTTTATAAGGCACGTATTATTAATATCCCCAGCTTTCAGGATGAGGAAATGAAAGCAGAGGAAGGTGAAGAAATTTGCCTGAGCCCACACTGCCAGTACCAGGCAGGACCTGAGTTCAACCCTAATCTAGAAGCATGCCCTCATCCTCTACACTGCCTCTTGGTGTATATTAAGCAACAGAAAACTGTTATTTCTGGAGAGTAGGATGAGTTGGGGGAGGGTTGATAACAATTCAGTTTTCACTTTAATAAAAACCAACAAAACTTTATTTATTTATTTTTAATCCTCACCTGAGGACATTTTTCCATTTTTTGTTCAGATAGAGTGGGAGGGAGAGAGAGGAAGAGAGAGAGAGAGAGAGAGAAACATCAATGTGAAAGGGACACATCGAGTGGCTGCCACCTGCATGACCAACCAGGGCCGGGGACAAACTGCAACCAAGGTATGTGCCCTTGGCGGGAACTGAACCCAGGTCTCTCTGGACCGCAGGCTGACGCTCTAACCGCTGAGGCAAACTGGCCAGGGCAAACCAACAAAACTTTTGTTTTAAAAAAAACTATTTAGGTAGATTGGTCTGAATGGGATGAACAATTAAAGAGGGACCAATGAAGCTTGGCCAGTGTGGCTCAGTGGACTGACCGTTGTTCCAAGGACTGGGAGGTCCCAGTTCGATTCCCAGTCAGGGCACATGCCTGGGTTGTGGGCTCGATCTCAGTAGGGGGCGTGCAGGAGGTAACCAATTGATGTGTCCCTCTCACATCGATGTTTCTATCTCTCCCAAAATAAAAAAATTAATAAAAACATAAAAAAGAAAAACTTAAGAGAGACCAATGAGGAGCATTAACTAGCTTGGGGAGAAGGGAGAATAGAGAGTAGGAAGTGGGTGGACCAGGGGGTTTTCTTTTTTTTCTTTTATTTATTGATTCGAGAGAGAGAGAGAGAGAGAAAGAGAGATTTGTTGTTCCATTTACTTATGCATTCATTGGTTGATTCTTGTATGTGCCTTGACTGGGGATCGAACCTGAAAACTTGGTGTATGGAAATGATGCTCTAACCAACTGAGCTACCCATCCAGGGCTAAGCTAGAGGCTTTTCTTGAAGCTGGATTTGAGTTGTAAGCATCTGTTGTGTGTGTAGTTTTTCCCCAGATCAATTTCTTATTCTTGTTGGGGCTGGGGTGGGGTGCTTAAGGAACTAACAGATATTAGAGGTTGGGGGTCAAATCCCCCAAACCATCGTTGGCATTGTCTCTGATGACTGCACTAATTCTTTGCTCATTTTCAGTAAAAAAAAAAAAAAAAAAAAAAAGCTTCGATTAATACCATATTCTACATACACCTAAATTAGGATGCCTAGCTTCTGTTTTGGATGAAAGGATTTGAACAAAAGCACGGAGGGTGCCCCACCTAAGGCTCAAGGCTTATTAACATTAACAAGCGACTGAGGGCATTCGGCACTTTCGTTCTGGTGAAAAACTATCAGATAGCTATAAAAAGTCTCAAACAATTTGTGAGCATTTATTTCTTTTTCTGCTGAACAAGATATATCTTCAGAATTGTTTTATAATACTGTTGAAACTGGTCTATTTTGTTTGATGGCTTTTTTTTTTCTTTGCAAATTCTGTTAAAACAGGTTAAATCATGCCCTGGCCAGTTTGGTTCAGCGGTTAGAGCATCAGCCCGTGGACCAGAGAGTCCTGGGTTTGGTTCCCGTAAGGGCACGTACCTCGGCTGCAGTTTGTTCCTGGCCCTGATGGGGCCATGTAGGTGGCAGCCAGTTGATGTGTCTCTCTGACATTGATGTTTCTCTCTCTCTCTTCCCCACTCTCTCCCTCCTGCTCTATCTAAAGATAAATGCAAAAATATTCTCGGGTGAGGATAAAAAACAAACAAACAAAAAAACAAGTTAAATCATGCAATTTGGGGTATAAAGTGATTAAATAATTGTATCCCAAGCTTAAAAATTAAATATATATAACATATAAATAATATATAGAAAATATGTTTACGCCTTGGCCAGTTTGGCTCAGCAGTTAAAGCATTGGCCCACGGACCAATGAATCGCAGGTTTGATTCTGGTCAAGGGCATGTACCTTGATTGTGGTTCGGTCCCTGACCCTGGTCGGGGTTGTGCAGGAGGCAACAAATCGGTGTCTCTCTCACATCGATGTTTCTCTCTCTCTGTCTCTCCCCCTTCCTCCTTCCCTCCCGCTCTATCTGAAGATAAATGGAAAAATATCCTAGGGTGAGGATGTAATAAATAAATAAATAAATAAATAAATAAATAAATAAAATATGTTTACTAACTAACTACTGCCCTTCCTCTACAAAACAAACACCTTTCCAGTCAATAGTGTCAATCAGAAATTGCAGGTAGGGCCCTGGCCGGTTTGGCTCAGCGGTTAGAGCGTCGGCCTGTGGTCCACAGAGATCTGGGTTCCGTTCCCACTAAGGGCATGTACCTCAGCTGCAGTTTGTCCCCGGCCCTGGCTGGGTCGTGCAGGTGGCAGCCA